GGGGCCAGCCTGGGTGAGGGGCCGCGGGCAGTTTGCAGGCCAGCCATGGCCCCAATCAGGGTGGGGTTCCCCGCTGGGCGGGGGGGAGCTGGTCTGAGCGAGGGGCTGGTAGTTCTGGTCTCTGGTCCGTTCTGTTTGTTCTGCCATTTCGGTTGCTGGGCTTTTATTATATAGGATTATTGTATTATTTTCCATAAGAATAACTGTAAATCTACTTTTGCCCCACCCTGTATATTAACTTACCAGATAAATAACTTCACATAGAACAAGCATTTAAAATGAACAAACTCCCTGATACCTCCATCATTCCCTTTAACTTTTGTGGGGCTTTGGCCCTTCTGTGCCTTTGTGACTGCTAGGAGGGCACGCTCCCTCCTGCCTCCCCTGTTGGGGGTGTGGACACGGGGAGGGGGGGGGGGCCCTGGCATGGGGACTGCTGGGAAGGGCCTCAGGCTCGGGGTCAGCCCGGCCGTGTGGCTGTGGGGATAGTAACTCAGCTCCAGAAAAGTGAGCCTGGCGCTGCCCTGGCTCCTTAGAGGCCCCTTCGACCCTTGCTGGGCACTTCCCCGTCCTCCCCCTAGAGCCCCCAGGACCTGGGATATGTGTCCCCCCAAAGCCCAGATCCCCTTCCAGACCCTGCTGCAGGTACACGGACCCTGGACCTCCCTGCCCAGGCAACCCCAAGCCATCAGTGTGTGCACCCTGGACCCAGGCTGGTCAGGGGCTGGCTGTTAGGCATTGGGGTGGGCAGAGCAGGGCTGGACTGAGGCTTTGGGGACTCTTGCCTGTCTTTTCTCCCGGGGCACTCGGAGAGCGGAGTTGTCCTTGTCTGGAGAGCGTCCGGTCATTCGCCCCTGGCTGGCTGTGCTGGGAGCCGGGGCCTGATCCGTGCCCGTTTGCTCCTTATTCCTCAGCTGGGGGGTTCCACTGGCCATCACCGTGGCAGCTGTCATCCTAAAGAAGATCGGCTATGACGCCTCGGACGTGTCCGTGGGCTGGTGCTGGATCGACCTGGAGGCGAAGGACCGTGTCCTGTGGATGCTGCTGACCGGGAAGCTGTGGGAGCTGCTGGCCTACGTCATGCTGCCCGTGCTCTACCTCCTCAGCCGTGTGGCCACTGCGCCCGCTGCGGGCTTGCCCCTGAGTTCTGGCATTGGGCTCGGCCACCTTAGGGGACAGAACTAGTAATGGGGAGCCCTAGCCGGTTTGGCTCAGTGGATAGAGCGCTGGCCCGCGGACTAAAGGGTCCTGGGTTTGATTCCGGTCAAGGGCACATACCTGGTTGTAGGTTCCCTGGTTCTGGTCGGGGTGCGTGCAGGAGGCAACCAATCGATGTGTCTCTCTCACATCGATATTTCTCTCTTTCTCTCCCTCTCCCTTCCACTCTCTCTAAAAATCAATGGAAAATATCCTTGGTTGAGGATTAACAACAACAAAAAAATGGAGAGCTTGGGAGGCGTCGGTCACTGTGAATTACACACATCATGGGTTGTCTGGTTTGCTGACTACACAGTCCTGTCAGGAGCGAGTCCTGTGACTCCTCGTTTGTGGATGAGGAAAGGGGGGCTTACAGAGGTGAAGGGCTCCCCAAACCCACTCAACTCCCAAGGAGAGAGCACCAGCCTGTGTGCCCGGCCACAGCCCTCTACTGCCCCCTCCTGGACAGCCCACGGTGGCTCAACCGGAGAGGAATTTAGATGAGAGTGAGTGGTATCGAGTAAGTGAACTGGAAGGGGGCCACGGATCTCACCATAGTGAACCGATAACTCACCTCTTATCCTTGAGGATTCGGGTTACGTCACAGCTGGTCGGCTTTCCAGGCGCCCAGGAGCCCATAAATCAACCCGCTGGGCCCGCTGGCGACGTCTCGGAGACTTCTGACCACGAGGGCTGGCCGCAGAGTCTAGGGAAGAATGGTTTCCCTCTGACAGGCTGGCCAAGCGGCTCCTTGTGCTCAACTGCTGGTTCTGCAAGTGTGAGGGGTGAGCTTCCTCCTGGCCACGGGCCAAATGCCGCCAGGAAAGGCCTCAGTCACCCGCCCGCCCGCCGGCTCGGCCGCGCGGTCAGTGCACTTTTATTGAGCATCTACTTTCCAAACCGCTATATGCGGTGGGAGGTCATCCTGAGAACCCAGACGGGGATCTTGTCCGAGAGAGAGGCCGGGGTGTGAGTCATGACGATAAAAGGTGGACGATGACCAGTGGCCAGAGCAGGGAGGCAGGTGCCCGTGAAGCTCCGAATATGGCCTCCTTCCCGGCTCCCTCTGCAGGTGTCTGAGTGTTCATGGCTGGACTCCCTGTCGCTCAGGGCAGACGGTGCCTCAGCAGCCATTTCTGGGTTTGGGGGGTGCTCCCGGCAGCTGTGTGACCCCTGATCCTCACCCTGGATTCCCACCTGCGTGGAGACTCCTCATTTTACTCTGAACAGACCGGGTTCTCGTCCCTCCTGCCCCCGCTTCTGGCTCAGCTGGAGAGAGGCCTGCAGGGCTTGCCCGCTGGTCTGAAGCCCTCTTGTGTTCTTGCCTGGGCCAGGGGGTGCCCTCCCACCTCCTCCTCGTTTCCACTGCCCTAGGAGGGCTCCGGGCTCCCAGAGCTCCTCCGGGCTCTGCCCAGGGCGCCCCTCCAGAGCTGCCCTTCCTGTAATGGCAGGAAGTCTGGGACCACTGGGCCGATCCCCATGTGTGAGACACCCACATGGAGGTGTGGCACAGGCTGTGGACGGAGGAGATGGAGGTCCAGGAGAAGGATCTGGGCTTGTGATGGGAACCTGGGCTCCAGTGGCAGGTGGGAGCTAGTGATGGGAATCGGGGGCTCATGCAGAGGGAAGCTGGTGATGGAGCCTGGGCTCCAGCGTGCAGGGGGAAGCTGGTGATGGAGCCTGGGCTCCAGCGTGCAGGGGGAAGCTGGTGATGGAGCCTGGGCTCCAGCGTGCAGGGGGAAGCTGGTGATGGAGCCTGGGCTCCAGCGTGCAGGGGGAAGCTGGTGATGGAGCCTGGGCTCCAGCGTGCAGGGGGAAGCTGGTGATGGAGCCTGGGCTCCAGCGTGCAGGGGGAAGCTGGTGATGGAGCCTGGGCTCCAGCGTGCAGGGGGAAGCTGGTGATGGAGCCTGGGCTCCAGCGTGCAGGGGGAAGCTGGTGATGGAGCCTGGGCTCCAGCGTGCAGGGGGAAGCTGGTGATGGAGCCTGGGCTCCAGCGTGCAGGGGGAAGCTGGTGATGGAGCCTGGGCTCCAGCGTGCAGGGGGAAGCTGGTGATGGAGCCTGGGCTCCAGCGTGCAGGGGGAAGCTGGTGATGGAGCCTGGGCTCCAGCGTGCAGGGGGAAGCTGGTGATGGAGCCTGGGCTCCAGCGTGCAGGGGGAAGCTGGTGATGGAGCCTGGGCTCCAGCGTGCAGGGGGAAGCTGGTGATGGAGCCTGGGCTCCAGCGTGCAGGGGGAAGCTGGTGATGGAGCCTGGGCTCCAGCGTGCAGGGGGAAGCTGGTGATGGAGCCTGGGCTCCAGCGTGCAGGGGGAAGCTGGTGATGGAGCCTGGGCTCCAGCGTGCAGGGGGAAGCTGGTGATGGAGCCTGGGCTCCAGCGTGCAGGGGGAAGCTGGTGATGGAGCCTGGGCTCCAGCGTGCAGGGGGAAGCTGGTGATGGAGCCTGGGCTCCAGCGTGCAGGGGGAAGCTGGTGATGGAGCCTGGGCTCCAGCGTGCAGGGGGAAGCTGGTGATGGAGCCTGGGCTCCAGCGTGCAGGGGGAAGCTGGTGATGGAGCCTGGGCTCCAGCGTGCAGGGGGAAGCTGGTGATGGAGCCTGGGCTCCAGCGTGCAGGGGGAAGCTGGTGATGGAGCCTGGGCTCCAGCGTGCAGGGGGAAGCTGGTGATGGAGCCTGGGCTCCAGCGTGCAGGGGGAAGCTGGTGATGGAGCCTGGGCTCCAGCGTGCAGGGGGAAGCTGGTGATGGAGCCTGGGCTCCAGCGTGCAGGGGGAAGCTGGTGATGGAGCCTGGGCTCCAGCGTGCAGGGGGAAGCTGGTGATGGAGCCTGGGCTCCAGCGTGCAGGGGGAAGCTGGTGATGGAGCCTGGGCTCCAGCGTGCAGGGGGAAGCTGGTGATGGAGCCTGGGCTCCAGCGTGCAGGGGGAAGCTGGTGATGGAGCCTGGGCTCCAGCGTGCAGGGGGAAGCTGGTGATGGAGCCTGGGCTCCAGCGTGCAGGGGGAAGCTGGTGATGGAGCCTGGGCTCCAGCGTGCAGGGGGAAGCTGGTGATGGAGCCTGGGCTCCAGCGTGCAGGGGGAAGCTGGTGATGGAGCCTGGGCTCCAGCGTGCAGGGGGAAGCTGGTGATGGAGCCTGGGCTCCAGCGTGCAGGGGGAAGCTGGTGATGGAGCCTGGGCTCCAGCGTGCAGGGGGAAGCTGGTGATGGAGCCTGGGCTCCAGCGTGCAGGGGGAAGCTGGTGATGGAGCCTGGGCTCCAGCGTGCAGGGGGAAGCTGGTGATGGAGCCTGGGCTCCAGCGTGCAGGGGGAAGCTGGTGATGGAGCCTGGGCTCCAGCGTGCAGGGGGAAGCTGGTGATGGAGCCTGGGCTCCAGCGTGCAGGGGGAAGCTGGTGATGGAGCCTGGGCTCCAGCGTGCAGGGGGAAGCTGGTGATGGAGCCTGGGCTCCAGCGTGCAGGGGGAAGCTGGTGATGGAGCCTGGGCTCCAGCGTGCAGGGGGAAGCTGGTGATGGAGCCTGGGCTCCAGCGTGCAGGGGGAAGCTGGTGATGGAGCCTGGGCTCCAGCGTGCAGGGGGAAGCTGGTGATGGAGCCTGGGCTCCAGCGTGCAGGGGGAAGCTGGTGATGGAGCCTGGGCTCCAGCGTGCAGGGGGAAGCTGGTGATGGAGCCTGGGCTCCAGCGTGCAGGGGGAAGCTGGTGATGGAGCCTGGGCTCCAGCGTGCAGGGGGAAGCTGGTGATGGAGCCTGGGCTCCAGCGTGCAGGGGGAAGCTGGTGATGGAGCCTGGGCTCCAGCGTGCAGGGGGAAGCTGGTGATGGAGCCTGGGCTCCAGCGTGCAGGGGGAAGCTGGTGATGGAGCCTGGGCTCCAGCGTGCAGGGGGAAGCTGGTGATGGAGCCTGGGCTCCAGCGTGCAGGGGGAAGCTGGTGATGGAGCCTGGGCTCCAGCGTGCAGGGGGAAGCTGGTGATGGAGCCTGGGCTCCAGCGTGCAGGGGGAAGCTGGTGATGGAGCCTGGGCTCCAGCGTGCAGGGGGAAGCTGGTGATGGAGCCTGGGCTCCAGCGTGCAGGGGGAAGCTGGTGATGGAGCCTGGGCTCCAGCGTGCAGGGGGAAGCTGGTGATGGAGCCTGGGCTCCAGCGTGCAGGGGGAAGCTGGTGATGGAGCCTGGGCTCCAGCGTGCAGGGGGAAGCTGGTGATGGAGCCTGGGCTCCAGCGTGCAGGGGGAAGCTGGTGATGGAGCCTGGGCTCCAGCGTGCAGGGGGAAGCTGGTGATGGAGCCTGGGCTCCAGCGTGCAGGGGGAAGCTGGTGATGGAGCCTGGGCTCCAGCGTGCAGGGGGAAGCTGGTGATGGAGCCTGGGCTCCAGCGTGCAGGGGGAAGCTGGTGATGGAGCCTGGGCTCCAGCGTGCAGGGGGAAGCTGGTGATGGAGCCTGGGCTCCAGCGTGCAGGGGGAAGCTGGTGATGGAGCCTGGGCTCCAGCGTGCAGGGGGAAGCTGGTGATGGAGCCTGGGCTCCAGCGTGCAGGGGGAAGCTGGTGATGGAGCCTGGGCTCCAGCGTGCAGGGGGAAGCTGGTGATGGAGCCTGGGCTCCAGCGTGCAGGGGGAAGCTGGTGATGGAGCCTGGGCTCCAGCGTGCAGGGGGAAGCTGGTGATGGAGCCTGGGCTCCAGCGTGCAGGGGGAAGCTGGTGATGGAGCCTGGGCTCCAGCGTGCAGGGGGAAGCTGGTGATGGAGCCTGGGCTCCAGCGTGCAGGGGGAAGCTGGTGATGGAGCCTGGGCTCCAGCGTGCAGGGGGAAGCTGGTGATGGAGCCTGGGCTCCAGCGTGCAGGGGGAAGCTGGTGATGGAGCCTGGGCTCCAGCGTGCAGGGGGAAGCTGGTGATGGAGCCTGGGCTCCAGCGTGCAGGGGGAAGCTGGTGATGGAGCCTGGGCTCCAGCGTGCAGGGGGAAGCTGGTGATGGAGCCTGGGCTCCAGC